AGCATTTTTTCCTAGCTTCTACAGAGTCTTTTACACTGTGAGAGTTGGTTTTTATGAAAAAAATTTCTTTGAGTAACATGAAGACATCAAATAATTCAGGTATTTTTAATAGGCATACATGAGATACACAAGAAGGTTAAGAAAAGGTTAAGATAATTAAAAAACCTCATTGTATTCCTAGTATTTGGAAGCCGTGAACTGTGTTAAAAACCTATAACTAGGGCTTCCCTGGTGGCGCAGTGGTTGAAGTCCGCCTGCCGATGCAGGGGACACGGGTTCGTGCCCCGGTCCGGGAAGATCCCACATGCTGCGCAGTGGCTGGGCCCGTGAGCCATGGCCGCTGAGCCTGCGCGTCTGGAGCCTGTGCCCCGCAATGGGAGAGGCCACAACAGTGAGAGGCCCGCGTACAGCAAAAAAAAAAAAAAAAAAAAAAAAATCTATAACTAACACTGTATATATACTTTTTGTAATTTAATATATCCAAGGGAGATCCACAAGTTCAGCTACTTGAGTTAATTTTACTCCTGCTAATGATTGTTTTAAAGGGAGTTTAGAGTAGCTACTGCATAACCAGCTTGGTATTTTTTCTTTTCAATATTTAAAGTAAGATTATTTTAAAAACGTGTCAATTCAGAATTTTGTATGAGAGTGTCCAAAAGATCTGTTCCGGACATGAAGGCATTTTGAATAACAGAAGTACAGTCATGAGATCCTTTAATTGAGAAGTGTAACAAAGTTGAATAATATGTGGAGAAATTAATATTTTATGATTAGTCAACTAATTGGTAGACAAAGTTTGAGTATTTTAGATTGGAGAACAATTTGTACTGTATGTAGTATCATCAGATTTAAATGGAGATTCTGGAGCAAGATCTGAAGATGCTTCAACCAATTTAGCCAAGGCTGTAATTACTTTGAGACAAGGAGTGTAAGTTTTGTTGAACTTTAAGGGGTAGGCCATGATAGGCAATGGGTCTTTGTTGTTTGCCATGCTGTTTAGTAATATCCTTAGGCATGGCTTTCCTTTTACATTCATACACAAAGAAAGATTTATTACAATCAGTGGTGAACTTACGATCAGCTGTCTTATGGAGGTGTATGATCCATAAGCTGTCTTATGGAGGTGTATGATGTCACCTGCAATATATTCCCTTTAGGGCTGGGCGCACAGAATATAGGGGCTTCTTGTGGCTCTTTTAGAGTCCCAATTGAGTTAACGGGAAAAATATAAATTCAAAGGTTTGATAACCTAATGACCAAACTCTGGCATCTATTTTGGCCTTTCTGAACAGAGTTGGGATGTCAAAACTAATAGAGAAGAGAAGGGGACCTCTGTGACGGGACTCCATGTCTGCAAGCTTCATTCTAGTCTTCTGCAAAGGGAGATTATCTTTTCTCCTGCTATTAGGTCCCAAGATAGGTAACTGGACAGATGTTGTGGTGAATAATTATATTGATTTCTATATCAATATATAGGTTGAAAAAGCTGCAGTAATTAGTCTAAAGAGATTTGCCTTCTTATCATAAGTGATTTATTTCTACCTTAGGTGAAAAAAAAGCATACATAGGTGTAAGGATACATGATCATTACATCTTAGGTTGTTTCCATAATCCATTATATGTAGTATTTTAAAATAAATTCCCTCACAGACGCAACGACTGAACACAGCATTTGGTCGAATCATCAATCTCCCTTTCAATAACAAATTTACCTCGTGTTTATTTTCAGATGTAATTCCCATCAGTTGAAGTGCTGGTTAATGCAAAAGGAAGTCTGGGTTGAGTGAGACTCTCACCTAGTCTATAGAGAAGCTGACATGACCCACATCAACCTGCTCCTCCAGGAAACCCCTGTTTCCTGTTGCGGGGCAGCAGCAACACATAGCTCAGCAATTCTTCCCTCACCCTGTCAGGCTCACCTCACCTTGCAGAGCCTTGAAATTGAAGAAGACACTTTCCATCTAGAGGAAGACCTCAAACATGCTTCTCTCCAGCCTTCTGAAGGTGGTCATGGCTTCACTGTGGCTAGGTAAGGATGGCCCCAGTGGGATTGTACCCCTCTAGGACATAAGCACTGGGGGAACAGGTGGTTTATGGGCACCCTGGGAAGAAGGGGCAGTAGAGTGTAAAATAGAATTTCTTTGTTCCACAGTACTCATTCTTAAACTTCTGATTCTGCTTTTTTTTTCTTTAGGATCCAGTATTGCCCAGAAGGTAACTCAAGACCAACCAGTAATATTAGTGCAGGAGAAGGAGGTTGTGACCCTGGATTGCATATATGACACAAATGAGTTCACTTATAGTCTATACTGGTACAAGCAGCCCAGCAGTGGGGCGATGATTCTCCTTATTCGTCAGGACTCTTATAACCAGCAAAATGCAACAGAAGGTCGCTACTCACTGAATTTCCAGAAGGCAAACAAATCCATCAAACTTGCCATCTCAGCTTCACAGCTGGAGGACTCTGCAGTGTA